TGCCAGCCTCCGCCCATTTCCACTTGGCAGAGGAATACCGGGAAAATTGAATGCGCATGACAAGGACAGCGCCATCAGGTCCGAATGCCCCGTCCTACGTCCTGACAGCTATCCCCCCCCCCCCGCTCTCCCTTGCCATAAAGGGCTGTCAGGAGATGCTTAATCAAATTAGCTTAGCGCCATGTTTAATTTCTATTAAGTCTGTAATGCAGAGTTTTGTTTCGTTGTTGTTGTTTTCCTCTTGTTTGTTCTTGCATTCAATCTTCTCTTCTTTCTTTCTTTCTTTCTCTCTCTCCCCCCCCCTTCTATTTTCTTCATCCATTTCTCGCACTGTCACTTTTCGCTTCCCTCCCTACCAATTACTCTTTTTTTTTTCCATCTCACTCACTCACTCACACACTCTTGTCCATCTGTCTGTCTACCTGTCAGTCAGTCTGTCTGTTTCTACCTCGCCTCGTGAGCTCCGTAGGGTCACCCCGCTGCCAAGAATCACTGCCGGGGAATTTTTCTGTTACAAAAATGTTTATTTTTTAACTAGTAGAAACATGTCTCTTTCAGGTAATTAAACACAGGTACGACCCATTGCCAGGTAACAGCTCATCTACGCACTTATGTCGGGTCACTCTGATTGATAATAACTGTAGAGAGAGAGGAGGAAAAAAGGTAGATTGAGAAATGAGAAAAGAGAAGAAGAAGAAAAAAACAAGCAAACTTGGAGAGGCATTCGCTCAAAGGTAATTTACATTCCTTTCTCGAATGGAAGTCGCATCAAACTTACCGGATTCAAGCAGTGAAGCAAACTCCCTCTCCCTCTTTCTCTCTCTCTGCTCCTCCCTCCCTCCCCTCCCTCCTCCCTCCCTCCCTCCCTCCCTCCCTCCCTCCCTCCCTCCCTCCCTCCCTCCCTCCCTCCCTCTCTCTCTCTCTCTCTCTCTCTCTCTCTCTCTCTCTCCCTCCTCTCCTCTCTCTCTCTCTCTCTCTTAAATAACCTACATCTCAATTTCTCCCACTTCATCGTCCCCCCCACCCTGCCGTCGCAACCCCTTCACCTGTCTTGCCATATTCACCCCTCCCCCCTCCCCCCTCCCACTGCTTCCGTCTTTTTCCCAACGGAAGCCAGCGAGACGGAGAAAAAGTCCCTTATCAGTTTTTCTTGTAATGTATGGACGTGGATACCTTGCCTAAATATAGGGGATTTAGTCATGCACCGCTCTTCCCACCTGGCAAGGCGTGACAGCGGGATGGGACTCGATACGTGAGCGCGCGCACACCATACACACGCACGGACACGCACACACACACACACACATGAACCGGCGCCTGTCCGAACCAGCAGGAGCGGCGGGAGAGACAAGGACTGTGCAAGGCGATAGTGAATAAGTGTCAGTAGGACACGAAGGGAAGCGAGAAGGGGGCCGCGGCGGAGACACGATCCTACTCACGATCCTACACAAGATCCTGCACACATCCTAGTCCCGAGGGAGTCCCAAACCCTCTCATCTCCCATCCTACGCCCCGCTCGATTATCGTCTGTCTTCCTTCTGTTCTTCGTCTCCCGCCCGTGTTCCTGTCAGTGAACCCTCGGCGCCCGGCAGAAGCGAGCGATGACGCAATCAGGAAAGGACGTGAGCAGTCAGCGATAACCAAACCAAATATATAAAAAAAACGAAAACAAATAAAGGGTAAAAACGGCAAAAGAAATACACATAAACTACATCAAATCCTACCATATAACATCAATAAGTAAATAAAACTATAATCATTTTGATTTGTACAAACAAAAATAAAAGACAAAAAAAGAAGATAAAAAACTTCTAAGCAATTACAATTAAAAGTAGCCGAGAGCAAGAATAGCATAAAGAGAGTTTATATAAACAGATGATTACGGTAGGGGGAGGGGGAGGTAGGATCAGGAGAAGGGGTTAGATGAGGTTAGATAAGTTATTTGATACCAAGAGAAAGGGCAATAGGCTTAATTTAGAGGAAAGGGGATAGTAGAGGAAAGAGTGAGGTTGAAGATAAGGAGGATGAGGAGGAGGTAGAAGAAAAAAAAAGAAGGAAACGAAGAAGGTAAAGAATTAGAGAAAAGGTCAGAGAAAAGGAATAACAATAAGAAAGGTGGTGATGATGATGATGATGATGATGATGATGATGATGATGATGATGATGATGAGGAGGAGGAGGAGGAGGAGAAGGAAGAGGAGGATATGATAAAGAAAAAGAAGAATTGGGAGGAGGAGGAGGAAGAGGATGCGAAAAAAATAAGATAAGAATAAGAAAAATAAAGACGAATAGAACAAAGAAAACAGAATTTCACTCCCATTTAATTTCGTACAAAATGCTGGGAAGTGAGCACAAATCACAAAGGCCTATAAGCCTATATGCGTCTTCACACATCAACGGCGCCTGAAAACAACAACACAGTAAACAAACATCTAAACGCCATTGAACATAAACACCAACCACAAAAACAAAATAGTCTACCCCTCAGCGATCGCTCAACACGGAAACA